AATTAAATATATGTCTGCATTTTTATCCTACAATAGTTATGTTCTCAAATGGAAGTACAGGTTTAGTATCCCCTGTCTAGATCCATGGAACTAGAAGTATTTCATTTTAGAATGTTCAGATTTTTAGATTTGAAAAGATTTGTATAGAATTTACTAGCTGAGCATTTAGTAGGGACTCATTAAATGTTTATCAAGTGAATGAATGGGGTAAAAACCAGAACCCAGGAATCCAGGTGAACATTCCAGTAACAAAGTGATAAATTATAGTATATGTTGGTAATGGGGAAAACAGCATGCAGACCTGCGTAGCGTACGTAGCTCGGCATAACTGACAAAGGAATTCAGTGGCGTTATGGATGGGGCAAGCACCAAACTGCAGGAAAGTTGAGGGGCAAAAGCCATATTGAATAGAATTGAAATTGGATAGTGACAAACTAGAAAACAAGTATATATAGATTCAAAGAATCTTAAAGAATAAGGAAATTGGGCAGTGTAACTAGAATAAGGGCTTAAGGTCAAGGAAGACTTAAGTTTTATTGTTCTAAAAATGCCAAACAAGGGGCTGGGGAAATGGCTCAGTAGAATAAGCACTTCCCTGGCAAGCTCAAGGGCCTGAGTTCAAGCCCTGGTTCTGCCAAAAAATAAAAAAAATAAAAATAAAAATGCCAAACATATATAAAAGTAAAGTAGCACAATGATTTTTCCGGTATATGTTTCAGTATGCATCTCAAGAAAAGAATGAAAAAGAAAAAGAAATGCTGCGTTTTCATAATTTATCATAGTTACAACTTAAAATTAACAGTAATTCTTTGATACTGTGTACTACTCATTTTTTATGTGCTTCTGTGTTTCAAATAAAAGTTGTTTGAAATTGGTTTCAGTCAAACAAATTTACACCTCTTATTTGAATTTCTTGTTGCATAGAAATAATCCTTTATTGAAACTGGCTTAATCTATGTAAGATATTTTATATTATTGAATGGTATCCTTGCTTTTTTGTTATGTTATCTCTCTGTTTTTAGTATTATGTGCAACTGTAAAGTAGTATAAATGTTTCATTGGATTTAGGTTTAGCCACTTTGGGGCATGAACTTCATTAAATCACATCGTAAGGCACATACTATGGACTTTTTTTCCCCACATTTTTCATCATAATAATGCTAACCCCTGAATTATGTTGAAGTCACTTTAATGTGTTCATTGAAAATTCTTTTTAACTTTTCACCCAATATTAATATCTTTGCTTAGTCTCATTACATTTCCAAAAGGTAGTTTTCTACCTCATCATTGTCATTAAACATTGATGGAAAAATTACACATACTCTGTTGTTGGTAATGATAAAATACAAAAAGGAGTATTATGCAACTAGAGCAAGAGGTGTGGAGGACCTGGGAAGGGCTTAGTGAGAGCCCTCAGCAAGAGCCGAGGCTAATTAAAGGGCTTGCTCTAGTCAGTGTAGAAAGAATATATTTTATCGCTTATCTACGAAAACTTCTCTGTGACACCTTTTGGATAATTGTACCTGGTTTCAGGAACTTGTACATTTTTAACATTGCATGTGAAATCAAAAAGTAAAGTGATTTTACATATCCCTTTTTGTATTTGACAGTGACCCTTCTGGGGGTCAATTACAAATTTTTGTAATTTGTCCCTTAAAAAGTGCGTTTAGAATTGTTACTTTTATGTACCTATATTTTTACATTATGCAAAATAAGGGAATGTGCCTTTATTTAACATATTTTCAGCTTGTGTTACTAGTTGCAAAGAGAAGTAAGTGCTCCTGTTAAGCAAAGAAAATGATAAATAAGTGGCAGTTTAGTTGAGACATTAATGGAGTCTAAAAGCCTTTAAAATGACAAAATCTAGCAACTTTTTATGATGTGTAGGATCGCTTATTTTACACAGTTTGGTCACATACCCGACAGGATTCTTTATTGTAATTTTCTCATGAAAAATTATGGTTTTGTGTTACCTGAGTGAAAAGGCCTTTAAAGTTAAGAAGAATATGACAGCATGTATTCTGAGGGTTCTAGTGTTTCCCGTGATAGGTGTATCCGCTTCTCTTTGCTTCCCTTTTTTGTCTGTCTTCTTTTTGGAATAGTTCTAATAGAAGTTACAGAATTTCACCATCAGAGAATGTGGACTGTAACTATGAACCAAAAACTATGTTAAAATTGTGCTGTGCCCACCGCTATGTAGAATTTGATTTCAGACAATCATATCATTATGGTTCAGCAGCTTCCATTTACTGTTTGTTAGCCTATATAATCTGAGCAGTAATAGGATTTATTGTGGGGTCAGATGTGAAGTATATTATATCAAATATAAATTTTAATAACCATATGGATTGTATGATATCTTTAATTACTTAGTACCATGGTATATGTTTTTGAATACTACTTAAGTTAGACTCTGAGTATCCACATAAGAATATTATGCTGTTTCCAAAAGCAGTAATGTAATCTGACCTGTGTCTTATGTTGTCCGCTGAGTTCTCAGACTTTGTACTTACTTATTGGGTAATTAATGTGATCTCCCTTGAGCATCTCAATAAACTAGGTTTTACCTAAGACCCACAAAGACAATATAGACGAGTAAGAGCAGTTATTTAAGAGAAACAGGAAAAATTAAGCACAAACTCACATTGGGCTTTTCACGTCCTACCCTTCAATACAAATGACAGGTATAATTGCTCTCTATTAAAACGTCTCTATTATCTAGGAAAGTTTATTTTCATTTTTTTGTTACTTAAAAAAATTAAAATGTAATTTTGATATACCCATATAATTATACTTGTTTCCTAATTCTTGAGTTCATCAGTGTTTTCTAGAATAATATTTTACTATTACTTAAATTGAAACTTACTAGAAAAAATGGTTTATACATTATAATCTTCAAAGCAGCATAAACTCCTTGTGCTTACTTTGAATATTTGTATTCTCACAACTTTGTCCCTCAAAATATTTTTAAGAACATTTTATAAGAGCTGGTGAGATAGCATAGCAGACTAAGTAGCTGTTTAGGCAAGCGCAGGGACAGGGGTTCAATCTCAGGTTCCACGTGTCATGGCTGGTCCTGCCCCAGCACACTGAACTGGCTACGGAGTCTGGGCGTGGTGGTGCTCACTTATAAACCTAGTACAATGAGGCTGAAAACAGGAGGATCACTGATTCCTTGCTCTGTAGTGAGACCCTGTACCAAATACCTAAGAAAAACAAGAGTATTTTATAAATCGTCCCAATATATAGACTCAAAAAAATATCATGGAAGTAGAAGGGAGCTATTTTTAGTCTCCCTAATAAAGGAGATAAAGTAAGGGAGGGGAGGTATGCAAAAGCCATACTAAGGATTACTTAATTATGCTATATGTCTATTTGACAATACCACACTGAATTCAATATTTTTAAAACTAGTAGGCACTAAAAATACATTTAAAAGCCTGGGGATACAGCTCAGCAGCATAAGCACCTGCCTGCCAAGCATAAGGTCCTGAGTTCAATCCCTGGTACACACGCAAAAAAAAAGATGTTTGTAAAAATACATTTAAAAATTGTATAGAATAATTCAGAAGTTTGAAATAGTAAATATCTAAAGGTTAAATTATAGGTGCTTCAAAGTATCCATGTTAATTCAAAAAGAATTAACAGATTTTGAAATACCATCTCTTTTTTTTTCTGTATTTTTAGGGAAGGGTCTACAGGGTGTTTAGGGTCTCACTACTAGATTGGACTTGTAGTGATTCTCCTGTTTACAGCCTCCCAAGAGCTGGGATTAGTAGGGCCACCATGCCTAGTCTCAATTACCATCTCAGCATGCCCTGGGGGCAGGGCCAGCATGGCAGGCCTGGGAATCAAGCCCCTGTGCCTGCGCCTGCTTGCAGGCACTTTAATCCACTGAGCTATTTGGCTGGCCTGAAATACCATCTTTTGATTTTTTTTTTTTTTTCTAGCAAAAGATTTCTGAGAAGTAAGTTCATTGAGTTCATTGTTCATTTGTTCCTTTGGGACATGAGAAGATGATTACCATTGAATATCAGACTGCTGCAGTAAATTCTTAGTAGTCTAAAATACTGAGCACTTACTTTGCTTTAATATATATCTGTAAAATTGTAGTTGATTACACAACCTATGTAAATGACTTAGCCAATTTCATTTTAGTTCTGAGTACATTTTATCTATTTAATAAAAACCAAGTATCATGAATACCATTTTATCAACTGTTCATGAATTTCAAATTTCATAATTTTAAATGTCCTATTAATACTGATATTCTGCTTTTTATTAAAATTATATCATCAGTAATGATAGCATTGATTCACTAACTGAGGAAATACTTATTGTGAACATGTTAATATACCAGAGACTAGCAACCTGTGAAGATATTACCACACTAAGCAAAACTAATTGTCTACATGAAGGTTTCATTCTGATGAAAACACTTAAATATGAAATATCAAGTAGTGATTATTATTTCAATTAAAAGGACATGTAAAATGAGTAGATGTTAGAAATTTATTTACTGTGTACACTTTCCGAGGGATCCACCTCTGAGCCCACTATGCCACCATTATAATACATCTTTGCTTTTCGATTATACTGTCATATATATATTGGCTTTGGGTGGTTTTTTTTGTTTTTGTTTTTTTTTTTTTTTTTGGTAAAGAGTAAGCTTTTTGAAAAACAGGTCTATAGGTTGTCACCGATTTCTAACCCTAAGACCTTGAAATGAAACAACATCTTTAAATACTCAGCTTTTGTGATGTCAGTGAATTCGAAATGTACTCACAAATTCTCTGGATACCTGGTTTTGCTGGAATCCGGAGATCTTCTTTAAAACAACAATAAGAAAAGAATGAATAAAAGTGCTAAAAAGAGATACATATGCAGAGCTCTTCCTTTTCCCTCATTTTCTTTTATTGTCATTATAATATTCATTTGCATAGAATTTAAAAATAAAAAGGTGAGGGAATATTTGCTGAAAATAGATCTTCTGTCTGCAGGTACTACTGAGCGAGTGTGCTTGATCCAGGGAACAGTTGAAGCGCTGAATGCAGTTCATGGATTCATTGCAGAAAAAATTCGAGAAATGCCCCAAAATGTGGCCAAGACGGAACCAGTCAGCATTCTACAACCCCAGACCACCGTTAATCCAGATCGCATCAAACAAGTGAGTGTTTAGTTGGAAAATCAAAGAAAAATGCCACAGCATACTTCCTAACATGTGTTCCTTACAAAGAAGCCTTAAAGTTTTTTCAAACATATTAATAACACACCTGATATCATTTACTTGTTTAAAGGCTATGAAATCTTTTCCTTAGATTGATACATTCACATATTGATAAACTGAATTACGCCCTTACTAGTGTTACCCTCATGAGCACATTTGTGACTCTGGATTGCCCTTTTTACACTTACACAAATTTTTTCACTTATAGGAGCAATACTTTAAATCATACTACTTTTTAAATAAAGTATAAAAATTGAAACTATATCTTCAAATTTCCCGCACCCAATTTTAGTGATACATGTATTATAGTAATTTTACATATAGATTTCTGCTTTGTTGTCTTGACATTTTTATCAAAAAGCTGTATAATTTTTGTAACTAGAATTCAGTCCTTTGTTACAAATCAGATACTGTGTTTTGTGTATCTTGTATAGTATTTACATATATGTCAAAAAGGACCAATGTTGATTTTTAATGTATGGGATTTTTGTAAAAAAGTAATATTTACTTGATAAAATCCAGTGTGCATTTTTAAGACTAACGGTTCCCATGATGTAGGGAGAAGTGAAATTATTTAATGTTAAAATAAGATGGGTTCTCCCAATATGAGCAATTTTAAATCTCCATATCTGTTTGACACTTTGTGCTCTTAATTACTGTTTCTGCCTTTGCCATTTTATAATTAACAATTTAATGTGTGACTTAGCTTTACTATCAATAGGCTATACTTTCAAAAGAATGTATTTTAAATTCACAGAATATTTGGTTTGCAGAATATTTGTTTGTTGTAATAAATTTGAACTATATAGTTCATAGCCTTATTAATTTCATGTTTCTGAACTGAAAAAATTATACTGAACAGTGTTATTAGTCTACTATAATTTACCAAGATATAGATAAATATAATGCTAAACATGTATTAGGTAATTTCAAATTATAGCTAATTAGCTTTCTGTTAATTCTTTTAAAAATTATATCATGTTTAAATCACAAATGAACAGTTCTTATTCTATATAAAATCTTCTATGCAATACTTTGTAATATCAAATGGTTCAATTTGTATAATTCTCATAACTTTTCAAGGAATCTTTTTAGTGAAACATACACATATTTCAAAGTTGCAAATTTCAGTGATTTCTTTATTCTTCCCAGCCATTCAATAAATTTTGAAGTGTTTATTTTTATCTATGCTAGGTGAATACAAAGCCTAATTTAAAGGACAAAGACTTGAAAGTGATTTTGTAACTTTAACCAAACTTTTTAATCTAGATGTCTAGCTAAGGACCTCTGGGTTAGGATCATCTGAGGCTAAGAATTTACAGAATAAGCACTAACATACATGGACTTCTTACATTTTACCTTAATCTAGCCTATTATTTCCCTCTTTTCTTTTGTAACTGCTGTGAGAAAGTTCACATATTTGAGATAAAGGTAAACATCTTGATTGTTTAAAAGTAAAACATGTAGTTTGAGTAGTATGGTATCACTGGCAATGTATTGCAATTTATTTTTATAAGAAATACCTAGTACCGCCAACGGTAATCTGAATCATTATCAAAATTAAAAATTTATTTAAGGCAATATGAGACTTGCGGACTACCATATATCTATTGCCAATATAGATTTATAAGAACTAGGATTTTTAAAAATTTGGTTTATTTTTATTTGCCTTGTTTGGATAAGGATACTACTTTTTTTTTTTTTTTTTTTTTTGACGGAACTGGGGATTGAACTCAGATCCTTGCGTTTGCCAGTCAAGCGCTTATCCTACTGAGCCATCTCCCTGGCCCCGAGGATACTACATTTAAGAGGAGAATTAAAATTAATATTGGATAATTGAAGTTTGTGTACTGCATTCATTTTTAAACTTTGCTAATATTATGGATTAAAATTATTGTTAATTATATTTTCGTATAGTCAATAACATATACAGTAGTATATCATTTAACAGGATTTATTAAAAAAACAAACTAATAGGGCAACATATTTAATGCTTACTTTCTTTATAATGTAAAAACTGAAAAATTTACTTGATATATCCGGACAAGAGGTAGAACATTTATCTAAGATATTATAGAATAACTGGTTTTTTATACCCTAAGTTTATGATTCTCTAACTTGCTAGATACCCAGTTCTCCAGTGTACTACTTGTTACGAGAGCATTAAATAAGTCAGGTATATAAATACATGTGGTTAGCACTGGATTTCTGAAGAAATGCAGGTTTTGTACTATAAAATAATTATTTGTAAAATCATTTTTCTCCTTAGAACAGAAAAAATCTTATACAATGTTTATGTTTTAAATTTTAAGTTGGTTATAATCAAATTTTTGTTAAACAATATTTTTTATTCTTAACAATCACTATGAGACTTGCTTTGCTTTGAGCTTGAGTTCCAAGTATAGTTTTTAAACAATTGAGCTGGAGGCCAAAAGATGTAGCACAGAGGCCAAACATTTAGCTTGTGCTAGGCTGTTTTCAAGGCCCAGCGCAACCACAGCCCCGGATGAGTTGGGCATGAACAAGTTCAGAGTTGGCCAGGACTATATGATGAGACCCTATCTCAAAAACAAAGCAAAACATTAACAGTAATAATTTCTCGACTAGGGATGTAGCTTAGTGCTATATCATTTGCTCAGCATTCACAAGGCCCTGGGTTCTATTCCCAGCACCTCAAAAACAAAAACAAAATAATTTTTAAATATTTTATTGCCAGTTTTATTCAAAATAATATCTTTAAAAACTGCTGGGTCCATAAAAGCCTTTAACATTGCTATAGAAATAAATTCATGGGTTTGATAATTTTATTTCATGAAATAAATTCATGAAATTGTGGGTTTTATTGTTTTAGTTACTATATTTCTTCATTATTAGAATTGGAATTTTAAAGTGTTCTTGTTAAAATTATTCTGTATATCTAATATAGTCTAACAGAAGTATAGTTCTAAACAAGATTTTAAATGTTATGATTTCAGAACATGTTATGAATTTTAATAAGCTATTCTGAATTGTGTTAAGTAGTTCATAAGTATTTTATACGAATCATAGTATTATATCCAAATAAAACCTACTCTTAGTTATTAAGTGAGTGCTCAAATAACTGGTTTCTTAAGAATATAGAAACTAGTCTATATTTCTATATAGACTCATATATAGAAGTCTATATAGGTCTTTTGTATAATAAGTCTCATAGGTCTTTTGTATAATAGAATGATGGGAAGAAGTTTTGGTAGGTTTTTTCCTTGTTTGGTTGGTTGGTTTTTGGTTTCTGGAGACAGTGTCTTGCTTATGTAGTGCAGGCTGGCCTTGAACTCATTATATAGACCACCTGTCCTGGAAATTCACCATGATCCTCCTGCTTTTGGCTTTCCATTGTTAGGATTACAGGCATGTGCTACCACGCCCTGCTGTCATTTAGCCTAGCCTTATATCCAACTTCAGATATTAGATGTTGTAGACATTCTTAGTTCAGAATCTTTAAAAGAAAATTTTCATTAGGAAAGACATGGCTAGAAGCATTTCAAAGATTGCCTTGTTTTTTAAAAAAGTCAAAGTGAGATATGAAATGCACTGTCACTTAGCCCAAAGAATTTTATTTTCATCATGTACAATTATTAAAAATAGCACTTGTTAATTTTGTTTATTCATTATTCATTCATTCAATCATGAAATGCTTAGGTATTACAAAATGTATTAAATTATAGCTTTTTTTCTTGAAAACTAGTATGGGAGGTACCAGTGTTTAAAATAACATAAAAATGGAGAGCTGTATGTGTATTTCAAAGCTTCCGTGTAAATGTTATAAGAAGCACATGAAAGACGTGTAGGTTACAATGGGAATTAATAGTCTTATAAAGAAGTGAAGACAAACTTTATTTTGAAAATTGTATAAGAATTACTCAAAGAAAAATACTATTTTAGAAAGATGAAACAAAATAAATTTGGGGAGAATATCATATATTTGAATAGTAAGAAGTATGTCTGTTTTAGCAGAATTATAGCATTCATGCAGGAATTTAGAGAAAAATAATATTAATAAGGAAGACGGAGTGTGATAACGCAGATATCTGGGTGTGTGGCAGAGGGATATCCCATAGACTACAGATTATTCCTAACATTGTCTGAAAGAGCTGTTACTTTCTCTTAAAAATTATGAAGACAAGCATAGGACTTTGCATTTTGGTGTTGTGTGCTCTCCCAGTAGATTATACATGTACATGTAGGAAAAGCTGTTAATAGGGGGAAAAAAACCTGAATGGACTACTTTAAGTTTTGGAAGATAGTTCAGATATTAGATGAAGGGGAGTATAATAAAAATGATCCACTAACGTTATGTATTGTTATATGCATTTTGTATAAAACAATATACAAGTTTAACAGAACTCTCAAGGATTGGAGGAAGCTATTTAGTATTGTTAGTTAATAGATTCTGAATTGAGATTTGTTCATTGCTGCTGTCAATATAGGTTTAAATATTAGAGATTCTTTACATTTACAGTTGTATACTTGCTTGAGAAAAAACTGTATTTATTAATCTTTATTTATGGTAGTCTTCTCTGGTCCAACAAAATTGTCACATCTTAACAAGACTTAATCTTATAATTTGCCATAACTTCTTATTTTTTCCAGAAAGTGTAGTTATATCTCCGTTTAACTAACAGCCTATTATTAAAACCTTCATTTAAATAATTTCGTAGTTCAAAGGAGCTACTCTTTTGGGATCATTAAAATACTTCAATTTTCCTTTGCAGTAATTTGCTTTCAATGTTTAAGGAATTCTTTTAACAGCCATTCATTCTGTATATAAAAAATTCTTTTTCAATTGGAGTGGTAAATGGTTTTAAAAAGTGACATATTCACTATTTGAAAATAAAAGAATAATTTTTAGAGGATTGTGTGCTTTGTAAATTATTATAAATCTATCAATGTATTGATGTCATGTCTATATTAATTTAACTACATCTATATGATGTGTAACAAATTTTAGTAAATGGCATTGACTTGAAACCACTGAACTTTAGTTCTGCACAGTGAGAGGATATGAAAGTTTTGTTAATAAAATATTTAGGAAATAAATATTGTACCTTGAAACATTTATGGATTTTCCTTCCATTTTTCTGTGTGGTTCAGAACATTTATCAGAACTGTTCCATTCATCTAATTAATAGCAGCTTTGAAATTAAAGGTATTACTTTAATATATTTTCTTTTATTTGTTTGAGAACAGTTTTACTTCCTAATATTTAAAAAAAAATCAGTTGAAATCGTTCTAGAATGTTTTTATCATTTTAAATTAAATTTGTAAAAGGAGGAGACTTTTATGCTTAGAAGTATCTATATGAATAATTAGAAAATGTGTCACATCTTTTATTAGTATTTTAGCAGTTTAAGCCAAGCAAATATATTTAAAGATAAATTTTCTGTGGTATTTCAGCAATCTCATCCTTACAAATCCAAATTTATATTATTTTAACTGTTTATTTAAAATATTAAAATGTGACATTTCATCAGATTATGTTTAATAACCAAGCCTTTAATTATTTAAAACAGGTTAATATTTTCTATTAGCTTTAAAAATACTGCTTTTTTCTTAACAGAAATTTAATAATTTTGATAAATGTAAATTTTATTAATAATATAAGTTTAATATTTTATGTATATGGCATTTAAAAAGGAGGATAATGAAAAAAATCAATCAATCACTTTATCTGTTACTATACTCCAAAGCCACTTGAAAATTCTACTTTTATATAGTTCTTTTGAGTATCTAAAAATCTGTTGAAATTTATATTCAGGAAAAATAGTTGTTATAGTGAATATAGAGACTCAAAGTAGCATTCACTCATGGAATCTGTAGGCTCTGCAATATATTGACTTGTATTCTATTTTACCTTGTAAGCAATGTCATCTATATTAATGCCCTCAGTGTTAATTGAAAATTAGTTCAGAACAGATCTTAAAATGGATCTTAGCTTTTCCCAGAGTACAACATAGTAATGGGAAAACAGAAGCTTTACAGTTTAATACAGAGAGCATGAGAATAGCATAAAGTAATTAGCATTTACCACAGCACAGTGTTGCATTAAAAAAAAAAAAAAACTAGAGAAAGTTGTAGTGACTGAAATGTTTGTCTGGAGAAATGACAAAAATTTATTACGAATAGCAGAGATAGAAAATAAAAGATTTGAAACTTGTTTAAAAACTCATTAAGTTTTACCTCTGACTTTAGATCCCTTTCCTTTTATTTGTTTGATTTGGGAAAAATATTGGTTTGACTCAACTTTAAACTTATCTTTCATGTTAAGAATCAGAAATATTTTCAAGTGACTATCTGAAATGTGATCTAATGCTAAAACTAGTTCTCCGTTTTAGCTGGAAAACAGTAAATTAACTAAAAGCTTCTGAATTTTTTAACCTTATTTAACCCAAACTAAGACTGTTGAAATCTCAAATACAAATATAATAACTTTCAACAATTTCATCTACTTCTCTCCACACTGCTGAACCTTTAAAGCTATGCTTTTGCTCATACATATCAAAGTAGAGAAACTTTCATAGTAGAATTGTGTTGCTAAACTGAAAACCTCAATTTCACCTGTTGAAAAGTATTATTTATGGAGGATTTTACTTAAGCATTGTTATTTCACTGCATGAGCATATGATACCTTTTATACCAGAAGGATCTTAGTATCTTACATTTCAGGGATACTAGACATAAGTTTTTAACATATATTAGTGAATTACTCATCAACTACATATAATTTTACACCATAATTTTTATATAGCATGTATACGTGTATAGAAATGAATGAGAAGAATGCATACTAATTTTTATTATCTTCAATACAGGCTGACGCTGCTACATATATGCTCATCATCTATATTAAATTTATTGTTTTAATGTAAATGAATAAATAGTAATTTTTAGAATATTATTAGTTACTTTATTAATTTGAGGTTAATGTTTGCATTTTCAGACAAGCTCTAAATTTATTAAAATTAATATTTTAGAAGATATTATATTAAGAACTCAGAACTGCAAATTTTATTGCTTTTATATATGGATCCCTAAATTCATGTGGAATCAACTTGTTGGTGCTAGTCATCATATTAAGTAGGTGGATACTTTTATGCCAAAGTAAACTTCATTTCACCACTTCAAATCTCCGACTATATTCATTGATAGGACAATGACTCTTTAAGTTTATTTATTGAACTTCTTGAATTTTTCTTTGTGACATCTCTTTTCCCCAAGAAAACAGAGGGAAAGAAATCAGACTACTATTCATGAATATGGTCAGGATATCTCTAGTACTCATGTAAGTTTTTATCAGTCACCATCATGATTTCAAGTCATGAATTTATTTTTACACGCTTATGCATGCATATTTATGTGCATTAGTTACTTAATTGATCTTAAATTCCATTAAATTTAAGTGAATAGGAGAAAACTTTGTTCATAGGATTTTGTTCTCGTTATATTACATTTTATTTTATTTTGTTTTATTTATTAATCAGTTTAAGGCTTATAAAGGTTGATTTGCTCCTGAACTGCTTTGTTCCCAGACATTGCCATCTTCCCCAACTACCACCAAGTCCTCTCCATCTGATCCCATGACCACCTCCAGAGCTAATCAGGTACAGTATCATCCTGTCATCTACACCATACTTTTCACGCGTGATTGCCTGCAAACGGGAGAAAAAGATAATGGTGGGTTAAGGATTTATTCATTCATTCACGTATATGGACCATGATCAGATTCCAAGTAACCTAAGAAAAAAATATCAGTAACTTCCAAATATGTGTATACATTTTATTATGTCACCCAAAAGGAAAAATAAACAGATGGTAGGGTATGAGAACACTGCTACTTTTAGGAATTTTTCCCTTAAATTTATGATAGTTGTATGGAGCATTGTGTATTATTTATTTAGTTGATGTTTTAATCACCCTTGATGTATCATCCTAGGATCTGTGATATGTGAGATATGCATATCCTATGTATAATTGAGCAAAGGTGTATCTTTAAAAGTGAATGCAATTTCATTCGCTTTTTATTTGAGATATATCTTACTATGTATATAATATCAATAAGAAACATTTTAACAATTAAACATAACTTAAATTGGTAGTTACGACATTTTAATACTATTTAGCAACTCAGGAATTGTTCTTTTTAGTACTTAAGAGAGTTTAGACATTTTTATTCCTAGAGTGGCAAATTTTACAATTGCAAATACATTTGATTAGTTTGATTTCATGATTGTTGTTCTACTAAGAACTTGTAGGTCACTTTTCAAATAATGTAAATGTTAAATATTTATTAAAATGATGAAACATTTTCTTTTTGTCTGAGTTGAATTTCATTTACATAAATGTTATTTTCACCTTTTTTACTATTACAAGCCTATGTGGTGATATTTAAGTAACAACAAAAGCTCATCTTCTTAATAAATTTTAATTAATTGACTTAATTATCAACTTTGGACTATATTTGCTTTGTATATTAAATGTTACTTTTGGACCATATTATTTAATGTAAAACTGTCAGAATTATTTTACTCGCTTGTTGATTCCAATACTTTTATAACCTCAGAAAAAAATTATTAGAATAATTGTAAGCAAAACAAGTAGTAGTTTGATTTTGTTTTATAAAATAATGTACCCTTCCACTAAAGGTCTTATAGTGCTTATATTTTAGCCTTAATAAATTGATGCATAAACTACACATCTCTAATGATAAAATCCAGCGGTTATCTTTTAAATAAATGATAACTACATAAATTGAGAACCACACTTGTCTTATATAATACATGAAGTTAAAAATTTTCTATATCCTATTCATTCTACATAGCTTAGTTTTGCAAGTTTTACTTTTATGATATTAAAAAACTGACAATAACTGAGTTTTCAATGTTTCTTTTGTACTTTATTATTTTGTTTCTAAACAAAAACATGACAAATGAGCATAACAATAAAAGCAAAGCTAATGATTTTTCTTAGTGTAAAAAGTAAAAATCCTGTATTTAAAACAGAAAACCATCTTTATTAATTTTGTCTATGAAGTTAGACTTCTTTTTTCTTTCATTTATTTTATCTGATCATGTGAATTTTTATAAAAGTCTTCAAAGCCTGGTTATACATATTAAATATACTCAATATATTTTACCCTCTAAATGTTATTACATTGACCTGTGTGACATCTAACATTTTGTTAACTTGAAGTAATTCATTTGTGATTTTATGTTCTGTTTACTGTGCTTACCTTGTAACATATAGCTGTTTTCTTTTGCTCATGTACAAAGAAGTATACTATCTCCGGATAACATGAAGCAAGATTAAAAGAAGAAAAGAACAAAATCTGTAATTCATTGAAAGGCTTGTAGTTATATCAACCATTATGTTAATAGATTGTAATTATTCTGCATAGTATTTCCCAATAAATTCCATTCATGTGGTACAAAAGTAGAAAATTATTTTTTGTTATTCATTTAGACTTTATGAAGCTCACAGTAGTTTCTTGTCAATAGTCCTAATTAATATAGCTTTATTATATTGACTTACATCTGTAAGTATAAGAACAGTAGAAAAATATGTTCTAATATGATCTTGAACTTTTTGTAATTAAAAGACTTCATTTCATTTTTTTCACTATTCTTTTAATGATACTAGTTTTTAAAGATTAATGCATTTCAACTTGGCAGGTTTATACACGCACATAACATGCTTTAGTTGTTTCGCCTGTGCTATACTCCCCTTTGACAAATCAACTTTTTCAAATGTAAAAAAAATTCATATTGAGATAATAGTTTTACAGCTTTTTTTTGTATGTGTTTTATAGTGTAAGACACAAGCTTAAAAATTTTTATACAAGCCGTTTTATATGAGTTAAATGTAAAGATCTAATAAATTAAGTTGGATTATTTAAAAGAACATGTTTAAACTTTCAAAACAAATGTTCAAAACTATAATCAATAGCTTTCAATGAATTTTAAATTATCAGTACTGAATTACTCACTGAGCTTCAGCAGAATGGTTTTATAAGCAAATCAGGGCTGCCAAAGTAAATTTTTGTGTCAACATTGGATTTCTGGCTATTAACTCTCTTGGAATTTTTTTTCTCAAATTTTAGGGGAAAAACTATTTTGAAATATTGTTTTATACACATTTCTCTCCTGAAACATTTGAAATTATATGGAAGACACTCATCAAAATGCACCAAACTCATTGTATATAGTACTCTTGTCAAATTTACAGAATGACATGACCAAAACTGTTTGGTAACACTTTATATTTTGAATCATAGGTCCATTTGGGTTCTTAGTGACATGTTCGAGGTGCTTCTCCCCAACTCATGTATTAGTTTTTGTTGTTATATCACCACAGATTTAAGGTATAAACAGTATCCGTTTCTTTTCTCACATTTTCTGTTGGTCAGGAATTCAGACACTACTTGAGCCACACAACCTAAGTTTTCTACTCCTGGTCTGACACTGCAGTCAGGACGCTGACTGAGTCTGCCTGGGGCTTACCTAGGGACCAGTCTGCTTCTCTGTTCACCTAGATTATTGACAGCATTCAGTTCTTTGCAGCTGTTTGGCCAACGCCCAGGAGTTCTTAGTGGCTAAGTGTCCTTTAGGTGCTAGAGTCTCTGTATAGTCATAGCTTGGCAATCTACTGCTTGTAATATCAAGGAAGCTCTATTGTGTGACAGCAAGATGCAGTCCTTTTTATTGAGGTTTATTTTTCTCACTTTCTTTGCTAAACATGAAAATGACGTATCATCTTTGCCATATTTTTTGAGATATTAGCAAGTCTTGAGTTCCCAGGGTCCAGGATAGTAATTTATTTATTTATTTATTTATTTATTTATTTATTTATTTATTTATTTATTGTGGTACCAGGGATTGAACTCAGGACCTTGCATTTGCCAGGCAGGTGCTTATTCTACTGAGCTATCGCCCCAGCCCAGGACAGCATTAATTATAAAGTGTATAGCAGGAGGAAGTGTTGATAATGGGTGCCATCTAAGAATTTTCCTTGTCACACCCCCAATATCTCACGTTCTTCCTTCTCTTCTATTTAATGACCTTTCTTTTTCATTTTATTTTTTTACTGCATTGAGAAAGCAGAAACAATCAAAAGAACTTCTGCAGGCTGACAGCGTGCCATACTTAATGGACCTACATTTATATTCCCCCTTTTTTCGTCTGTTACCATAGGCAAAGTTTTCCTTCTCCTTTGTAAAATCTTCCATTTCAGTTGTAAAGTAATTCTTATCTCTTTTCCTTTAATAGGAGATCCTTTCAGCAATATTATGCCTTCATTTCTGTCAACTTTTTACTTCCTGTAGGAACATTCCAGTCAGCATACAAATATCTTTTTCTCACATCCTAAAAGACTATATAATCTCCTTTAATCTCACTTACCCAACAAGCCAATGCCTTTTTTCCTTTAATATTTTGTAAACAACATTCACTTATCTATTATCTGTACTCTCTTTTTTCTGATCTCTCACTTCTGTTCGTAAGTCTCCTTCAGTAGTTTTCGCTTCCACTGTTCAACCAAAACTTTCCCAAGGGCTTCCATCATGATATTACTGCTCAGTTGTCTCTTCTCAGCCCAAATGCTGCTTCATCTAGTAACAGTATGCCTCACAATTTATTAATTCTGCCTCTTTGGTGTACCTTCTATACCTGGCTTTGAGGATATTGCACACTGTTTTTGTCCTGCACCTTGACATGTTACTTCTTTTTTTTTTTTTTTTTTTCCAGACCCAGGGATTGAACTCATGCTCTTGTGCTTGCCAGGAAAGCGCTTAATCTACTGAGCCATCTCCCTGGCCCCTGACATGTTACTTCTCAGAGTCCTTTGCCAGCAGCTCCTCTTACTCTGTCTGCTTAATTCTGGGGTACCCCACATCTTGATGCTTGAGACTTCTAGCCTATTCTTTCTCTTCATAGAATCCCTTGACTTTTATATGCTGACATCTGCAAGTTAGGTCTCTAAAAGAAACTGGTTTACTATTGTCTATATATGGTTTGTGCTGCCATAACAGAATACCTGAGATGTTAATTTATAAAGAGCAGAAAATTATTTTGACAGATTCATAGATTAGAAGGCCAAAGGCAAATTGCCAGGTTCTAAAGAGTTGTTTCTTACTGCCTCATCAAGCGGCAAAGGTAGAAGGGCAAGAAAAAGAACCAGCACTTTGTCCTCCCGTGGCAGGAGAGAACCCACTCCCACAGGGCCCCTTTATACCCGTGTAAATTCATTCCCGAAGATAAACCTTCATGACCTAAGCACCTCTCAGAAGGCCCCACCTTCAACATGAATGCATTGGGATTAAGTTTCCAACACAAGTTTTGGAGGGCACAATAACATTCAAACATAGCAACTATTAGATAATGAAACTTAATCTTCATGATTCTTCACTTGCAGAGGCTATTACATAACTCCATGTTTATAATTTTAAATTCTATTTTCCAAAAGTATATTCTAAAATTGTATAACTGTGAGGTCACTTATGTGGCTCTTGCCACATTGCCTCTTTTACTCTATTTCCTCACACCTCACTCACTCTGGTCCCTCCTCATTAACCTGTTTGCTTTTCCTTGCAAACATTAGGCATATTCTT